TTTGTCATTGTTTAGTCCACTCGTCAGGAGTTTTCAGCGACTGACTGCCGTTCTTCTCATATTTCCATATCTTTATGCTGTTTGATGAAATCAATTGATGCCTTAGTTTGGATTCTCTCTCATTTTTGGTATTAGTTTTTATATTTACATGTAGATAGATACACCCACATACATGGTGCGATGGGAAAATTATCGTCTATATTACACAAAAATGAAAATAACACTGACATCCCATTTTAACAGATGTATTTACCAAAATGACACAAAAATATCTTGAAATATTAAAGAGTAAGTTTGTTCAATAAAATCGCTACTGGCTTCAGCCACGGCCTCCAGACGACTTCGGAATCACCTGTATCTCTTCTGGGTGATCTCATTGTTTAAAATGGTGAATGCTGCCATAATCCTTGCCTTCAGTTCATCTTTGATGTTACAAGGAGTTTTGTTGGTCTCTCGCTCAACTGCGCCCCACACATAATAATAATCAAGGGGGTTGCAGTTTGGGGAGTCAGGTGCCCAGATGTAAGGGATGATGTGGTCGCAATTGTTTGACCACCATGACTGGGTTCTTGTGACTTGATGCAGGCCTCCGTGTTGAGTCTGAGGCCCTCACCAACAAATTCGGAAGTTCTTTACTTAGAACGATCAGAGTGAGTTTTTCGAGCAGCCGTACCTTCGTAATCACCATTAGTCTCATCCGACTCTTTTCGAATCTTCTGCGCTGTCTTTAGATTGACACCTAACACTGAAACGTTCGTATTGAAGCTTCCGGTGCGAATGCCAAACAGTAAAGCCGTTTCTAAATTGCTGGCGTAGTGAATTGCGTCATGGTGTTCTTTTTCTTACAGGCGGTGCCCTACTATATTTTGCAGTCAATAAAATAAAACCAAACAAGGTGCATGCGCGAAATTAAAATATAAAATGGCACCTTGCATAAATATAAAGAGAGACATATAGAAAAATAGTCACATACATATATATACGCAAATAAACACACACACATTGGCTAATCTAAGTATGTATGTATGTGTTATACGTGTGTTGCCGAATGGTTTTAGAACATTCGCTTTCCGACCATGACCACCGGGTTCGAATGTGACCATGATTGGTCAGGAAGATGATTTCTTGGTGTTATCTGGTAAGACAATCTCAACGTGCTGCCTCTTTGGAAAATGCAAGAAAACCATAGTACGGATTGACCCAAGCTTTGTGAGTAAAATTGGACACATAAAAGAAGAGATGGGTATATAGTACAAATACTGCTATTATTTTTCATAGAGAACTGTATTCCTGACGAAAGGAATGTATGATCAATTATATCGTATATACGAATACTAGATTATCAAAACGGCTGACTTTACACCTATCGGACCACAACTCTATAAGGACACATTTAAATCAGCACGAAAACATATCAAATTATATATGCAATATATATATATAGTTGGATATAGTTGGGCAGAAACCCCTTTTAATATATATTTTGTTAACTAGACTCAAAAGAGTTTTTTCTTCTGGACTTAATAAATTTAGAAATTGTTCAAATATTTGTTAATTCCGAGCGCTTTCGGCTCATCTATTAAATATTTTCAGAGATTTGTTTCTGCTACTATGATAAATGATGTGTTATTGTAGACAGTTTAAAAGTTGCTGAAAATTATTTATAGTTTTAATTTCCAAATATGACCATTGCATTATGGCCTCGTTCATAATTGATGTCATTAAAGGTATTTTTTTTATATAAGAGCTTCCATTATTTTAAACTATTTTACAATTAGGGATGAATAAAACATTTGTGTTTCCTAATTTTTCATACTAATGTTCACCCAATACAAGACCTAAAAGTCACTCAAGGTAGAGGGCTACTTTATTGATTTGTATGAGCATAAGAAAAGGCAAAAAAGTGAAGTTCATAGGCCTATGCAGAAAAGATAAAGTTAACTCTAGACTTGAAGTGGTCAAGATTACAAAGACTGGAAAAGTCGTCAGTCTGTTTCACAAAGTAACATTTCTTAGGAAGAAGCTGTTCGAATTTAACTTACTTCTTACGAATGGAATACGAAGGGAACGGGGATGATTCACTCTTGTGGACGTGGCAGGGCGAGTCCCAATTGTAAAGGTCAGTGGAGGTGAGACTAAGGAATGTAGATCATCCGAACACATGCCATGGAAATAGCGATGGAGCAGCGAGAGGCTCGCTAACGTTTTGTCTGTGGGGAAGGGGTTGTAGGGGTGGGGGAAATAATTCATAAGCCAAAAGGCGACATAGACGCTTTTGAATTCTGCCAAGACATGCAACTGAAGAATAGGCAGCTCCAGCCCAGATATGGCATCAGTACTTCATTTTTGATCTGATCTGGCGCTTGTAAATAGAGCAAAGGAAGTCAGATACTTACCGAAGCAGTACAATGACCCGACCATTTTTTCAGCCTCTTTAGCAATGGATCAATAGATGCTTCACATGTAAGAAGGAATTTCCATTCAGTTTTCCCCCACCAAGAGCTGCCAAATTGTGGCTGCTTCCCAGAAAACTATAATCTTGACCTTTTCAAGTTAAGGGTCAATCGTTATCTATCCGACTTGCCCTCGTAATCTCCACTCTCTGCCATTTTCTTTTCCATGCGTATCACATACCTTATTCATCATTACCATTTTGACTGTAACATAAACTGTAAATTCTTGAGCCTTATAGTAAGTAAAATTTAGTAAAAAAATATATAATAATGACGTAAATTCAGAATTACGAAAATTACATTTGAAACATTGGCAAGGAACAACACACGTTCTCTCTCTGAAAATCCTTATACAGATGTGCGTATAAATATTTTTAGATGCATACTATGCGTTGCATATTACTCAAAATACAGCCTTTCTTTCATGTGCTATTTTATTATTGAAATCTTCAACTCGCTATAACAGCAGCAGGATCCATTACCCAAAAGAAGACTTCCGTTTACCTTCAACTGGTCTTACGTTCTTCAAAGTCACTTGGGGATTGCCCCTGGCAGCATTTCTATTAAACTGTCCGAATTTAATCGCTTACTGTCACAACCAATCAATGGATAGTTACTCGACATGTGACTTGCTGTGCTACAAAGTAAGTATATTCTATCTGACAAGATGGCCTGCCCCTCGCGAAACAAAATTTGAGAGTTCTTGGATGATCTCAAATAACACACAAGATGCCATCTTTATATACACTACTTCTGCGTGAAATCCTTACAAAATGTAATTCCTAACAACCTCTTCATTTCCGTCGTTTATTGCACAGAAGCGTCCAATTTTCATTCTAAGGTCATTTATTTATTATTCTGTGGGCATATACCAACATTCATTTTCAGTTTCGGTCTCTCTCTTTCTCCCCCTCTCTATCTCTCCCTATATGTATATATATATATATAGTTTTAAGGTATGCTATATTTATGGAATAAAGTGCTCAATATCAGAGATAGAGCGTATGTAAATATAAAAGTGAACATTGAAGTCAATACTCAAAGGCGACAGACTGTTAAACACTAAACGCAAAAGGCCTGATGATTGCGTTTAGCATAAAACAATCTGTCGCCTCTAATCGATGACTTCAATATTCACTATATATATATATATATATATATATATATATATATATATATATAAATAAATAGTATGTTTTCATTCAAACATGTTTAATTGAATAATATAGACATCTTATGTCTATGCATTTGTTATAATAATCCTTTCTAGTTCTCTAATTAGCATCTTGATGTTAAGTTGAAATTCTTCAAGGAAGGCACCGTAGTTTTTCCTTACCCAATTACTTTCAATCTCTTCCGAGTTCATCCTCAGGGGTGAATTGCGAAGACAAACGTATTGTATCTGGGGTCTTTGTGATGGTGATTTTTAAAAGCACGCGTGAACACGCTCTGTTATAATTATTTTAAAATTTTTCCGTTGTAGCTATGGTGTTTTATGATGGAAGATTGTTTCAAAAACACCATTCATTCATTTCCAAAAGGTATTTGCACTTAAGTGGATATAATGAACACGACTGGAATTCGAACTCGGCTCTCTGCTTTTTTCATTCCGAAAGTTCACATTATTTTATTAGGTGGAGATTTTTTTAAACGTGGCTTAGATGTGGCCAAATACCGAAAGTGGTGCTACATTATTTTATTAGATATGCGCAAAAATTCTCAACATTCTTATTTGAAAACAGGAAACTGAGTACACAGTTGAAAACCAATAATTCGCTGAAAAGCTTTGTATATGTATGAATGTATGCTAGCACGAAGTCACAAGTCATCGTGACCGAGGGTTTGATCGTACTGACTTTGTTCAGAATGTTGATAACGCGCTCTTTCCCAGAAATGTAACTAAGATCCATTGAGCATCGTTGCAGTATAAACACACAGGTTGGCTCTGTAGGTGATAAACAAACACAAAATGTGCGAGAGCAGGCTTCTGCAACAGGGATTAGCTAACCTCCCTTGTAGACGGGCATCCGCGGATACGAACGACCAGACGTTTTATGTATGTATTGAAGGTACTAGATGGAAACATACGTAATACATTGTAAATGAAAAATATTTATTTTTACATAAACTGTCGTTTTCTAAAAGAAAACAGATTCGTAGTTTGGAAGAACTGTTTACCTACATTGTAATTTGCATATTGTGAAAAATATTTTGTCATTTTAATAAATGTCTGTTAATCTGCAAATTTGACTCATTATAAGAGTCCTTTTGTCTTTTCATAAGCTTCTCTAAAAATATTTATAAAAAGAAGGATAAGGAATTTGAAATCCTCCTTTAAAACTACTCTCGAAATGTCTACCTCTATGTCTCTCTCGTCCTTTTTTTTCTCTCGAAAACTACGGTGCCTTCATTGATGAATTTCAACTTAACATCAAGAAGCTAATTAGAAAACTAGAAAGGATTATTGTAACAGATACAACGATATAATATGTCTATATTATTCAATTAAACATGTTTTTTGCAGAATATATGAGTCTGTATTTAGTATCAGCAAGATAGATAGATAGATAGATAGATAGATAGATATGCGTGTGTAGACTTTCAATAAAGATACGTGTCTGTATATATATATATATATATATATATATATATATATATATATATATATTATCGCGTAACCCGTAGGGTCGTAAGGGCACCATGTGTCGTGGGGGCACCATGTGTGGTGCTTATTGGGCAAGATAGTCCGAAGGTCAACGCTCTCAGGATGGTTTGGAATTAAAGTTTTTCCTTCTCCTAGACCGTTTGCACCAAAGCAACCAGTCAGGAGAAGCCATATCCATCATTCCACCGTGCCTCCCCAATATATATATATATATATATATATATATATATATATATATATATATATATATATATATATATATATATATTTCGATTATAGGTGCATTTAATTTATTTATAATTACATGAATCATTCATACAAAAAAAAATATAGAGGTTAACCTCTATATTTTTTTTTTTGAATGAATAATGATATATATATATATATATATATATATATATATATATATATATATATATATATATATACATATATATATATATATATATATATATATATATATATATATATATATATATATATATATATATATATATATATATATATATATATATATATAATAAAAAAATAAAAGACAACAAAAAATAAGCTTAAAATATTAAATAAACTATATATTTATATATATATATATATATATATATAGTTTATTTAATATTTTAAGTTTAAAAATAAACTGAAAGCTTAAAATATTAAAATAAATATATATATATATATATATATATATATATATATATATAAATAAATATATAGTTTATTTAATATTTTTAAGCTTCAACTTATTTTTGTTGTCTTTATTCTTGCTTATACATATATATAGTTTATTTTATATTCTAAGCTTTTTTAGCTTATTTTTGTTATCTTTTATTCTTACTACACACACACATATATATATATATATATATATATATATATATATATATATATATATATATATATATATAGTAGACTTAATAAATCCATTGGTATATAGTCAAGTGGATCCTAATAATATAACATATTAAAACTGATCCACAAAAAGAGCTCAATGTATTTATTATAACATAGCATATAAATTGCATAATAGAGAAATCCAAAATTGCCTCGTGAGTATAGACTATTAAAACTAACGTCAATGCATTAGCGTTTTTCGACTGAAATGGTGAACTGATTCTGTGTTAGAAACTTAAAATTAAATATTTAAAAAAAAAAAGGACAGCAGTTGAAAAATTGATACTGAGCTAACCAAACAAAACGCCCGAGTAGTGGAAGGGGAAGGCGGATGATGTCTGACTTAAATGAAAAATGGCTACACAAATTCGTCATAGATATTAACCCTAATACCCCAAGTTATGAAAATTTGGAAGCAAAATTAAAGGAAGGCCAGAAGTTAAAAAACGAAATTATTAATTATTAGTTATATAACAAGAAGCAAGAGAATTTATTACCATTTCCAAAATATGCTTGCAAATAAAATATAATATGAATAACAATGAATCTTTTTAGATAGTTTATATTAATAAAAAATAAAACATTTAAAAAATTAATATTTAAAAAAATTAAATATATATATATATAAATAAAATATATAACCAATATATAATTATAAATATTCACAATTAAATATATAATGTATAATTTATAATTAAAAATATATAATTAAAAATATATGAATTAAAGAATTTATAATTAATTTTTTTTAAAAAACGATTAAAAATAAAGATAATTATAATAACCTACTAAACCTACCTCTGTGACGACATTTAGAAATTCATTCATTTGATTTCAAACCTTTCTCCTTTAATTCCCAAAACATTGTCGAAAGAGCTGTCTGGTATTTTAAACCTAGCTCTTCTGTTAGTGTTGATGATTGATTAATTGAAAAAGAGAAAAAAAAGGGGGGATGTCAACTCAACCACGTGTATCTACTAAAAATAACGTTTATAGCAGAGGTGGCCAAACGGCGGCTCGCGAGCCACATGCGGCTCTTGGACCTTTAATATGCGGCCCATGGAAATATGTTGGCTGAGCTCCTTTTTTCATCACAGTTAATATAAACGGTAAATAAGAAAAATTTCAATTTTTTTCACGTCTTGAGGCTCTCAAACATCTGAACTTTATCGTATGTGGCTCTTACATGAAGCAAGTTGGCCCACCGCTGGTTTATAGCAATGAGAAATAATGTCGCAGCAAAGGCAGAAAAACCAGGAAAGTATTTCGTCTAAGTGAAGGAAGACAGTGATTTAAATCTTCCTCTGACTAGCGGTCATACCCACTCATGGGAAAGGCTTCGAGAGTCAACCCCAAGGAAACATCAAGAGTACCTAAGGTACTTTCTCAACGAAGTGTCTATTGGCGCTTGCTGTTCAAGTGGACTATTTAAACGACATGGTGTTGGGGACATACTGGCTGGGTAACGGTCTGTCCCCACCATGTCTGCCTACTCAGGCCAAGCAGCAATCAAGACGACTGAAATATCCAGAACACCATATTCTTCCGTGATTCACAGATGTCTAATCTAAACTAAATGTGTTCTATTAAAAAGATCCATTTACCAATTATATATATATATATATATATATATATATATATATATATATATATATATATATATATATATATATACTTCAAAGAAAAGCGATACCTAAGATTTAAAAGGCATTTTAAAAAAATTAAAAAAATAATACCTAAAGGCTTTTATTTTATTTTTAATTCCTAGCTTATAGATTAAAATTAATGTTTCTAATAAGCAAAATATTTTGTTTGAACTTCAAACCGAATTTAAATTGATTGGAATGATTTTTTTTATTATTATTATCAAATAGTTCGTTAAACGTTATTTGAGAAAATTAGCTGGTTTGAAGTTTAATTAAACTGAATTGAAATAAACTGAATTGAAATAAACATTACTTTTACCTTAAAATATTGCAGAAAATCATTTTATAACACGAGGGTGGCTGTTTTCATGAGTTATTGCTGCATCTATCGATAGCATAATGCTTGGGAAATTTAACGAAAAGGCAGATAATTTTTATAAATTTACATAACGAATACAACGTAAACGTCTTTTTATATAATATTTTAACTACCCAGTAGTATTAAAAATTTGAAATATTATAAGCATTCTAATATTTTATTGAATTTTAGGTAGTTTTGGTTTTATAGTGTTACTTGCGATGACACTTCTTAATGAAATGTTACAAATTTTACTAATAAATTTTATATTTACTATAGCTAAAGTTCTTATTTTCTGATAATGTCATGTATGGACGTCCGTATTTACAAAATTATATGTATATGTTGATAGTGTAGTGCAAAAAATTACAGTGCTATCTAATATGACCTTTGCTTTCTTCACATGTTCTTTACTTTCTTCTCAGATATATATATATATATATATATATATATATATATATATATATATATATATATATATGTTTCAAAAGACAGGGAAGATATACATATATATATATATATATATATATATATATATATATATATATATATATATATTAATTTCCTGTCTTTTTGACTTTTGAACAGGAATAGATTGGTTGATTAATTGATTTGTTTATTTAATGACATAATAACTCCTTATCCGTCATTTAATGTCGAAATTTAATTTTCTTGGGAGCTTGGAAGAAATAAAAATATGTTATTCTGCTTTCACAATTGAATACATGGTAGATGATACTCAGCTTTTGTGTATATACATGTTTCTGTGAATATATTTACTAGATGCGGTGATGTGTGTTTTATGTTGTAGTTTTGTTGAAATAATATTTTGGAATACAGTCCAATCTAAGAAATTGTAGGATATTATATGGATTAACGTCATGAAAGTTCTTTCATGTTGGTTGCTTGGTAATATTTTAAATAGATTTGAGTGAATTCGCTACAATTTGTCAGTATGTGCGTATTGTTGGTAATTTTACTATAAATATATATTGTTGGTAATTTTTTATCTAAAAATGTATTGCTGGTATTTTTACTATAAAATGTATCTTTATACTTTCATAGTGTTTTGTTTTTGTTTGGCGATACATTATTGGCCATAGCTAGGACCCCAACATGTGCTACCACCCTGGGTCAGGGGAACAGGAGTAGAAGTTCATCCATTTTTTCCTCTTTAGAATTCAGTTTCCTGTTCTTCCTAATGTCTTCTCATTCGCTTTCACTCTCTGTAGCCTCTTGCGTTTTAGTGGTAGTATCGCCTTGCTTGGGGTGAATTGATTAAAAAAAAGTGAGTGCGTCCGTTACATGTGAATGTTGTCCGTTACACAACGTGTCATAAATTTTGAGTTAGCAGTGTCGCTGCGTTGGTAGATCTATCCCGGCATTCTCTCACACTGTTCATGTTCATATAAGTTCGATCTTCACTTGGTACCGTATATTTCTGTCCTTGTGTCAAAGATAAGCTTCGTGAAAATTAATACATTACTAAATAAAAAATATGGTTTGACACTATGAATTTTGGAGGGTGGTAAGTAATGTGTCTCATTCAAGATGCGAGAATTTTCAATTTAATTACTCGTAAACTGGGGAAGAAAAACGATGACAACGAAAAATTAATTAATCAATCAATCAGTTTTTTTAATAAAAAACATGATTATAGGCTGCTGGGGCGTGAAAATTGACAGAGATTCGATTCTAGCTCGATTAAATGGAAAAAATATGGGAGAAAATGATGAGATTAGATAGGATTTATAATCCGATGCTGATATGAAATATTTTGACTGTAACTATCAGTTTTGTTAAGGATATGCATGTGTGATTGTTCACTGCTGGAAACGAGAAACCAGTGAGCCGAGTTCGAATTCGTTTTCTTACGCACAAATACTCTTGAGTAAAGTATGAATCCATTTCTTTTCCACACCATCTCCCTATCTATAGGTTAAATAACAGGACACACTGTGGTTTAGGAAAAGGACAACTCTGAACTGAAAACCGGACGTAGTCTTCGCGAAACTCCTTCTTCTATGTGCCGTGTCCCTTC